TCGCCTTAACAGCCTCTGGTTGGCTTGCATTACGGTGACCTTTACCCTTTATGATATTTTCAGCTATTGAAATGGGGGCACTTTTGAGAGCTGGAGAGGATGGTGGTCGTAATGACTGACCGGGGACAGCAGACGTGAACCGGGACTGTCCCGAGCCCACCCCGGCTCTGAAGAGCCTGAGGGAGTGGCTGCCTCAAGCCGTGTGGCAAAGGGAAGCTGTCTTTGGTCTGCAGATCGGCGACCCCGGCAGCGCGGTGGCGTGTAGATTTCCCTTCCGTATCTGTTGGGCAGATTTGGGCTGCCGGGACCGCCCAAGTGTCTTGTCTCCTTTGCAGAAATCCACCTGCTATTAAGATGCTCCGTGTACGCCGAGGTCCTTCTCAGTGTCTCCTTTTGGGCCTTCAGCACGTGCCAGGGGCCTCATAGTTTGGTAGGGGCCTTCTCGGGGGCCCTCCAGGCCCCTCCCCTCTACCTCCTCATAAAGGGGTCTGAGCTGCCCTGCTGATCTGTCCAGCTACTCCTGCGGGGCTCCAAGCCCTTTGAGGGTCAGTTTCGTATCTGAGTCATTTGGGTCCCAGAACAGGGCCTGCCCTCGAGGGGGGAAGTGGGTGTTTCAGGGCTGACCGGTGTTCTGCGGTGACCTGGGTGAGGGAGTGGTGAAGTTTGCCTAGAAAACTAGTCAAGGGCGGGTGGTACAGGGTGTGTCCAATCACAGCACCCTGGGAAGGAGTGACCTCTGACTCACCCAGTACTGGATGGGAGGGCAGGGGCCAGGAGCCCCCTGATTATCTGAAAATCTCTGCTCGATTCTCGGAAGTTCCTGGAAGAGCTCCTGGGTTTCATCGGAACTTTCTAACCCCAGTAGAAGAGACGCTTAGTGAGAACCTACTGGGTGCTGGCTCCCAGCCAGGTGCTTTTGCAGGTACCGTGTCCTGCACTCCTGCCAATGGCTCTGGGAGGGAGGTTTAGCCTCCACATGTTTACAGGTGAGAAACCCCAAATCTGAGGAGGTTAAAGCTGCTTTGGAGTCTGGGCTGGGTACCTGAGGGCCTGTATGGTTTCTCTTACTCACTCATTCGTTTGTGTATTGTTTCATTCTTTGGCGTCTCAGCCCAGACACAGGACATTACTCTGGGAGCTTCGGTGAGAGAAACCCCAGGGAGGTCAGAGTCGGTGGGGGCGGGGGGCATCTTCCCAAGGCCCCGAGCCAGGAAACAGGTGTGTGTGCACAGGTGGGGGTGGTGCGTGGAGCCTTCCAGGCGGAGGGAACAGCAAGTGCGAAGGCTCAGAGGTGGGACTCCCGGTGTGCCGGGGAATCCTGGAGTGGAGAGCTTGGCCTGAGTGGTGAGGCTGGGGGCAGGTGTGGGCTCCTGGGCTCTAAGGAGCCGGGCTCCTGACGAGATCCAGTGTGTGGGAAGGAATGGCGTGGTCAGAGTGCGTGTTAGCGCCTTGGTTCTGGAGGCTGGTGTGATGTGTGGCCTTGGTGATGCAGCAATGGAGGGCAGACAAGGTTGTGGAGGCAGCAGCGGGAGGTGGGGCCCAGGTTGGCCTCTTTCCCGGGTATGAGCTTCCGTACCGTCCGTCCCTAATAGCTAATTGCCGCCTGGTGCCTCGGCCGGCATCCAGGCTCCTCCTGGCCTGACTCGCCTCAAGGCACCTGAGGACCAACAAATAAATGTCTCTGAGGGGAAAACAAAAAGAGAAACCACCTTGTGAAAGAATAAGACTTTTGAAAAGCGAGCCCTAAAGAATGGAAGGAGTTTTTCAACAAGAAGTTTTCAACTCTCCCAATCTGGTCTGACTGGTCCTTTATGGAGGGGCCGGCACAAGGCTCCCGTCACCCCATCTGTCACCTCCTGACGCGACCGATGAGAAAGTGGAAGCACAGAGAGGTTAAGTGACTGCCCAGGGTCCCGTAGCTAAACAGCACCGAATTTGAACCCTGAACCCCTGACCTCAAAGTCCAGGCCCTCCTCCATTGCAGAAGCACACCAGGGGCCAACAACAATAATGATACGATGAGACTGTTTATTGATGTGGTCTCTGCCTCAGGGCCTTTGCACTCGCTGTCCCCTCTGCCTTGGTTCTCTTTCCCAGGTCTGGCTCCCTCTCAGCATTCATTTTGAGGCGATGGCACGTCTTTATACAGGACTTTCTTGATCATCAATGTAAAGTAACCACCCTCTCCTCCCCCAGTACCCATTATTGCATCACCCCATCCTGTCTTCTTCCGGGTACCTATTATTATCTGGAAGTATCTTTTCTATTTACCTATGTGTTTGCTTTCTTGCCCCCACCCCCGGTTCCTTGAGGGCTGTGACCTGTTGATTCTTTCACTGCTCTTTGTGGCATCTGGACCGGTGATGGCTCATAGGGCCAAGGTCAACATTTGTTGAATAAGTAAATGCATTAATCAATCTATTCCACCCTCCTCTTCGTAGTCCCATTTCCTTCCTGCCCGCTGGCACGGAGGAGGCTCCGGTGGCCCAGCCAGGATGTGTAACTTGCTCAAGGTCATTCCACTGGACAGAGAGCCAGGATGGAAGCCCAGGTCGTCTCCCCCGCAGCGGGTCCCAGCGCCCTCCACATCGCCTGCGTGCTGTGTTGTTTTGTGGACCAGGTGTACATGCTTCCCAGCTCCAAGCCATGTGTTTGGGAATCGCTGCTCCCCCTCCGTGGATCGCCTGCGCTCTCCGCACAGTGGCTGGCGCTGCTGCAGCACCATAAATATTAAATGGGTATTAAAAGAAGGCTCTGCGTTCCCAGTTTCCCTGATTTCTCTGAGCAGGGCCCATTGCAAACCCCCTTTATGTGAAATGCAGCATTTCACTGTGGAGCGCCTCCTGGGACGCCTTGCAGCCTGCGTTTTCTGGCCGAGTCCCCTGGTGCAGACAGGTTCTCCCCCACTGCGGCTAGCCTTGCTGCAGGGCACGCAGGCGCCCGCTCCTTGGGGGCAGGGGTGGGTGGAGGGCCCCATCCCCACACCCCTCCCTTCCTCCATCCCTGCATCCTTCCCTCCATTTCTCCATCCTTCCATCCATCCCTGCACCCATGCATTCACTAATTCAGTATTTATGAAGCATCTGTGCTGGGCCCTGGGGTGATGATGATGAGGATACGAACAACAATAACAACATTTTTGAGCATTTGCTATGTGCTGGGCTCTGTGAAAAGCAGTTTACGTGTGTCACCTCATTTAATCTTCACGACTGTATGACATGGGTACTATTTTCTCTCCATTTCGTGGACGAGGAATCAGAGCCCCTGGCAGGTCACAGAGCTGCTGGGGCTTGATCTGACGTACCAGGGTGAGCGAGGGAGACCTAGGCTCAGCCCCCAGTGGACATCCAGGCTCTTCATGGGACCCTGGGCTGAGGACCCCTGATCAAGGCCTCTCTGAGGAAATACTGGCGTTGTTGAGGGGTGATGGGTGAGTTTGGCCAGAGGGAGAGGAGGCCAAGGGGGGTCTAGGCTGCCTGTGTCCAGGTCCCAGCACCACCCTCTCTCTGTGCTGGCCTTGGGCAAGAGACCTCACTTCTCTGTGACACACCATTCTCATCTGCAGAATGTGGGGTATTGGAACACCGACGTCATAGGTAGGTGGTGAGTCTTAGAGAGGGGCCCCTTGAAAGTGTTGGAACTGCGTGCTCTGAACCAGCTCACAGCACTCATTAGCCAGCGGCCTCTGGGCACTGGAGGCTGCTGGGCACAGACCTGTGTGGCTGGAGTGTGGGCAGGGCCCGCGGGCCGTGGGGCCTCATCAGAGGAGCCACGGTAAGGATCTCAAGCAGGGGCTTGGTGTAGTCAGCTTACATTTGAGAAGACTGCGGTTCTTCGGGGCTCCTGGAGCCGCACCCTTTGCTCACACTGGACACCCCTGGACCACAGGTGCCCCAGCACCTGGGCAGCACCTGCCCACAGCAGGCCTTCCGTACACAGGTCCCCGATTGAACTGAATCGTGATTATCATAGTAACGGCGAACATTAGCTGGGCGCTTGGTGCCTGCCGGGCACTGTGCTCAGAATTCCCGTTCGCTTAACCTGTGCAGCTGCCCTGGGGGGCGATGTTACTGTTATCACACCCACTTCCCAGAAGACGAAGCTAAGACTTAGATTAGGAAGTTGGCTTAAGGTCACACAGCAGGTCAGCTCCAGGCCGGGCCTCAAACTCTTGTTCAGATCTGGGCTGTTGGAGCCCTGGACTTCGGCGTCTGCGGCCTTGCGGCCTCTCCCGGGGTAAACGGGATGGGCACAGGCCCCGAGGCCTGGGCGCCCTGACTCACCCAGCTAGGAGGCCTGCCACGCTGCATCCGCTGCGGGAACCGATTCGTTAGAAACAACGAACAGGACAAAGAACGGGAGCAAGTGCGTCCTGGAGGGAAAAGGCTGAGTTTTTTCTCCTTATCTTCCCAAGTGGAAAGGAGGGATGTGTATTCTGAGTCAGGATGCATTTTTTGGGGGGAGGATGGTGACGGGAGAGCAGAAGGATATTGGTATTTATTGCACCTTGTATGGGCATGATTGTTGAGAGTTCAAAAAATTAATAATCCATTTCTCCTTTGCACCTAATTAAAATGTTCTCCAGTCTCTAATTTTTGTCATTTTCCTAATCTAATTTGTTTTCTGACTGTGTCCATTCTTCTTCCATGTGCAAAGCAAAGGGGATTTTTTCTTCCTTTAACGTGACTGGGATCTGACTGTCCAGGAATAGTTTAAATGATGTTATTTTCTCCTTGGTTAAATGAAGTGCAGATACAATCGTCGGAGGGTCTTAATGACCAAAACCCCAAAAAATCCGAATCTTTGAGGCATTTCCTGTTTACATAGTTAAAAAAAATTATGGAAAAGAGCAAGAAAAAAGATGATCTTAATGAGGACGCATGGGCCGTCATGGCAAGGGTGTGTGTCAGGGTAGGATGCAGTCTTGTTTCCAGGATTTCACATAGGCGAGTTGGAATCAAAAAAGGGACATTTTAATCTAGTAACTACAAATGCAAACTGTACTTTCCAATGAAAGAAATGAAGAAAATATCTATAGCGTCTGTAAGCTGTGATGTGAGTGGATTCAAGGTTTGACTGGGAACATCGGAATTCCTGAGATCCCTATAAGGCATTCGAGAAGGTTGTTGGTTTTTTGTTTTGTTTTGTTTTTTTAAGTAGATTCCCACCCCACGCCCGACCGTGGCCACCCTCTGAGCTGAGTTGGTGTATGGCAGTCTTTCTGGGAAAATCCCTTCTCCGGGCGCTGCTAAAACGATATCTTTAGGCGAAATGGTGGTTGATGAAGGAATTTGTGCCCGTGCTTTCCCCACCTGCTCGGGCTTGTAGGGGTGTGGCCGTGTGGGAGTGTGTTGGTGGGGGGGTCTGAGGGGAGCGGGTGGGGTTGGAGGTGAATCCTTCCTATTCCCCAGTTCCGAAAAGTAAAACTTACCTTACCTGTTTCCAGAATACCAGCCATTGTCTTCCGCATCTCACGGCCACGCTGTGGGCTCTGGGGGGTTTTGTCGAAGGCAAAAAAAAAAAAAAAAAAGTCTTAAGTATTTAAACATGTTGGACCATGCATGCATCCGTCCATGGCGTTGTGGGTTTTTTTTTTTTTTTTTTTGGTCCCCTCCCTCCCTTCCCTTTTCTTTTCACCAAAGTATATTCATCAAACTGCTGAGTTGGAAAGATTTGTAATGAGTTTTTGAGCTGTACGACTGTGTTTTTTTTTTTTTTTCCTCTCCCCCGCCCTCTCCCTCTTTCTAAATCTTCATCTGACATTAAATAAAGCAAATCCCAAACAGATTAACTGTCGCACGGTTCTGCTTCGTCTCCTCAGTCTGTTCCCAGGTCTGGCTCGGGGCCGGGCGGCGGGAGATGCCCGGGCGGCCTGCGGAAGTCCATGTGGCGCGCTAGGTGGGATCCCGGCGTCCTGAAAGCAGAGGCCCTGGCCCTCCTGCCCTGCGGCCTGGGCATGGCCTTCTCCCAGTCCCACGCGATGGCCGCTCGGAGGCACCAGCACAGTCGGCTCATCATTGAGGTGGACGAGTACAGCTCCAACCCCACCCAGGCCTTCACCTTCTACAACATCAACCAGGGCCGCTTCCAGCCGCCGCATGTGCAGATGTGAGTGGGCGTCTCCGATGGGCCTGCGGGGTGGAAGGTGTGGGTGGTGAGGGCCGTCCGGGGTGGGCTCCTGGACTCGGGGTGCCTCCTGGCTTCTGGGCCCAAGCATTTCATGCAACGGTTCTGGGCTCCCCAGATCAGCGAGGCTCTGAGTTGGGAGGGATGTGGGAGAAGTTGCAGCGTGCTGGCCTGTGGGCCGATTCTGGCCTGGAGTCTTGTTTCATTTGGCCAGGAGAATGTTTTACAAATATTGAAAAATGAGGTGATTGCACACGAAAATCCAGACTTCTGGCTTTGCCGTACAAAGCCCAACGTCCTGGCAACCCCAGGCCCATACGTCCTCGTGGCAATGTCTGGGGAGCTGAGTTCCAGCTGCCCCTTCTTGGCATTTGGTATTGGGTTACTGACCCCCTGGTCTAATTCATGTTCCTTGTTGTACAGATGGGGAGGACGAGGCCCAGGGAGGGGACGGGACTTGCTGCAGCCCCCGTGGCAGGGTAGGACCCTGGGCTTGGCCTGGCTGTCCTCTCTTCCCTCTGCCCATCCCTTTTGCCCAGACCCCCTTTGCTTCTGTTGAAAAAGCAGAGATGCTTTCCAAAAGGACTGGGGAATTCTGCTGCCTGCTCTTTGGGGCTGATGGAAAATACCAGGGGTGCCCCAGCAGTGGGGCCGCAGTGAGAACATAGACTCGGGACTCCTGTGCACAGGTAGAACCTTTCCCCCGCTCCCTGAATTTTTTTCCAGTGGTCGGGAGGGGTGCAGGTGGCACAGGGTGGAGGTGGGTAAATTCCTGGCCCTGCCCTGGGCGACTCCGGGTGTTGCCAGAACGTCCTCGTCCTTTGTCCCCGCTGCCCGCTCCCATCAGCCCTGCACCACAGGGCTTACCTGGTGAGGAAGCAGAGGCCCAGACAGGTGACCCACGCGAGCCCGCACAGCTGGCAGGCAGCAGAACTGACACCCGTCTCCAGTCCAGGCCATTCTCCATGCTTAGCATCCTTTTGCTGTGATGTCTGTGGACGTAAGTATGTACGTCCCTCCATCTGAGAGTGTAGACATTCGTCTGCTCCATTGCTGAAACTTCTCTCAGCCCCTTTGGGGTGCCCCTGTGCTGGGTCTGGGTCTCTGACAAGCCCCTGACGAGGGGGGAGCCCCACGAGTTCCCAGTGAGAGCACAGGGAGGTCAGAGCTGTGATGGGGATGCTCCTGGGCTCTGGGGCTCAGAGCAGGCCCCCTGACCTCCAGGCTGGGTCAGATGCCCCCATGAGGACACAGACCCCAGCTTCCTCTAGGACCTTGAGTACCGTCTCTAGGGAGCCGTGGTCAGGTGAGGTATCAGCGGCCGTCCCTTCGGGGAGACGGGAGAACGCGGCCTGCGGCCCGCGTAGAGAAGGAGCCGGGGGTTTCCACACCCGGGCCTGGAAGTGGGGTGGGGAGGTTGCTGCCTCTTGTTACTGTGTGGTTCCCTCGGGACTGGTCTTCTGTTGCAGAGGATGGGTGCAGAGAGATCATTCGTGGGCGAAGGGGTTCTGGAAGGCAGGTGGGCACCAGGCCTGGGGGTGGGTTCCAGCGCTGGGAACACCCTCTTCCCTGCAGCGCCTGCTCTGGAAAACGTTCATTTCCGTGGGAGCCGCAGGGCTGGCCTGTCGGTAGCTGCTTACTTTATTGTTTGGTCGACTTCTCTTTGGGAAACTAACCCCAGTACCCAGTTTGGAGCCAGGTTGGCAGATTTGGGCAGGATGGGAGGCCCTGGGTCTCAGGCCCGCTCTTCCTTGGTCTCTGGGACCTTGAGGCCTGGCAGGGCTGCTGCAGGGGGGGAAGGCCCTCCCAGGGCTGGGTTTTCTCTTCTGTTGCTGGGGTTTCTCCTCCTGGGCTGGAAGTGACAGTGTCTGAGGTCCCCGGATGCCACTGGGGACGGGCGAGAGCACCGGGCCCCTCGGGCAGAGCAGGTGGGGTATGTGTCTGTGCCCACTTGTCTGCACACCCATTAGAGGGGCCCCTGGGCGCCGCAGATACAGCTGAGTAGTAGCAGGCAGAGCTGTCCTGTAGAACACCCCCGCCAGGCAGCCCCCAGTCCCAGAACAGGGCTAGGGCAACAGAAGTCAGGAGACAGGGCGGCCAAGGGGCTGAGAAAGGACCCTCTGGAAGAGCTGACTTTTAGGTTGAGACCCAGAGGACGAGGAGTGAGGGCAGCAAGTTGGGAGGGGGAAGCAGGCCAGGCAGAAGTTGCCGCAGGGTCTGAGCTGGGGGGTGGCTGGGAAGTGCAGGAACGCCCAGCTGGGTGGAGGGTGCGCTGGGCGGGAGCCACGCGGGCCCCGTGGGCCGGGCTGTGTCCTGAGGAAGGGCAGTGAATGACCAGGTGAGAGAAGGGTGATTCCCCCGCTTAACAACTGCGGGTTATTTGTTCATTCATCCATTTATCCGTCCTCTCGGGGTGTTTGTGAGCAGCTGCGCAGCACACTGGTTAGTTAGGAGTGTGGGCTCCAGGCTGGCCTGCCTGGCTTTGAATCCTGGCTCTGCCACTTGTTTGTCGGGTGTCTGTCGGTGCCTCAGTTTCCCCGTCTACGTAATGCCGCTCATTGTAATACTGAGGGTCAGGTAGGTGAACCCACATAGAGGGGGGCCAGGCCACGATGTCCTGTATCGTTAGTATTCGCTGGCTGGGCTAGGTGCCAGGGACACAGCAGTGATCGGGGCAGAGCCCTGCCCGCGCCGAGCTGACCCTCCAGTGGGACACGTCGTAAGAGTCATGAAGTGCGCGATAGCGTAGGATCCTGGGAGCAACAAGTGCTGTGGAGAAAAAGCTTAACGGCTTTTCGTGGTCGCTCAGCTGGCGTGGGCGGAGCAGGTTCCCACCGGCCTGCCCCGCTGCCTCCCTCCTGGCCTGCTCTGTGCTGCCTGCTCCTGAGGCCAGGGCTCCAGGCTTTACTGGCAGTGGGGCTCTGGGGAGGCCGGGGGTTTGGGCCGGGTCCTGGGAAGAGCACGCAGTGCGCCCTGGTCCTGGACTCCTCATCCGGTGCTCTCTCATTGCCCGCTCGGGTCAACCCACCTTTGAAATGCAACTTTGTACCCAGCTGGGTGAAGCCGGATCGCGTGGGGACTCGGCGGGGCGCCGTTCCCTCCCACCCCCCTTCTTTGGACTCACACCCTGTGCACCAGGGAAGCACGTGGGTTTCCATGGCGAGTCTCCACTGAGGGAGACGCGGGAGGACGGATGCCACTTCCCAACACGTAATTTATCGCCACCCTGGGCTTTGTCTCGGGTGAGGGAGCGAGGGGCCCTATTTAATGAATCCACAATTTACATTAGTAACGACAGTGACCGTCCAAACGCGGCCTCCGGTTGAGCCTGTGATTTATGTAGTTGCCCCCAGAGACCCTGGCGGTAACGAGGCTGTCTTTGCCTGAGGAGTGAATGTCTGGATCTGGGCCTCTGGGTTTTGGGCCCTGAGACGGAAGACCCCTTACCCTGGGGGCCGAGAAACCCTGCGGTGGTCTGGGGAGAGCCCCTCCAGGCACCGGCCCCTTAGTCCTGGGTGGGCAGGTGGCCGGGTGGCCTGTTGCTCAGCGAGAAGGTGAGAGCAGTGTTTGCGGGACAGGGTTACCCTGGGGATCCACCTTATGGGGGGGGCGGGGAGCTGGTGCCAGGCATGGCGACTCCTCTCTGGCCTTGAAAGGGAGTTCCATCGGTGGATACTAGACTAACCCATTTAAAGACCCTCCAAGCACGTCAGGCTGTGCGGGGTCCTTGAAGAATGTAGCAGGGCAGGGCACTGCTCTGCGCCAGGCTGGGACTGGCCCCTATCCCCGGCCCTCACCTCTGCGCCAGGTTGGAGTGCCGACCCCCTCGCTAGGTGACACGGAGGCTTCAGAAGGGACCCAGTGGCCCCTAGCCCGTCTGTGCACTGAGAGGTCTCCAGGAGACAGTGAGGGTCAGCCTTGGCCCCGGGAGGGGCCGAGGGGGCGTGGCAGGAAGAAAGCCCCGACCTGGGCTCTGTCTGTTCTCAAGCCGCATCCTGCACCCTCTCCCCAAGGGCTCCAGGTGCAGTTCTGGTTTCTGGGACGTTTATGTTTTTTATTTAAATTAATTTTTATTGGAGTATAGTTGCTTTACAGTGTTGTGTTAGTTTCTACTGTACAGCAAAATGAATCAGCTATACATATACATATATGCCCTCTTTTTTGGATTTCCTTCCCGTTTAGGTCACCACAGTGCGTTAAGTAGAGTTCCCTGTGCTATGCAGTATGTTCTCATTAGTTGTCCATTTTATACATAGTATCAATAGTGTATATGTGTCCATCCCAATCTCCCAATTCCTCCCACCCCCCCCATACACATTTGTTCTTTCCGTGTTTTCTGGGACATTCCATTGTTCCCTCTGCCTCCCCTACTCTTTGTCCTGACAACATAGACTCATTCTTCAGATCTCACCCAGGTGTCACTTCCTTGGGGACACCTTCCCTGACCCTTCCCCAGACCTTCCTAACGGCCCCCCACCCCGATCTAAGCACTCAGAGCCTTCCCTTCGTGACACAGGCTTCAGCCTGTGCTTATGCATTCATTTGTGGGACAGTTTTCTAAGCATCTGTCCCCTCCACCAGCACGGGCTGTCCCTCGAGCCTAGCACAGTGGACAGGAGGAGGGAAAGAAAAGGGAGCAAGGATGAGGCAGGGTGCACGCCCCAGGAAGAGTGTGGTGGGAGATCAAGGAGGGCTTCCTGGGGGTGGTGGCATAACCCCGGAGCTTGGAAGACCGGCAAAAGCAAAGCCAGGATGTGGGGAGGAAGGGCAGGCACAGGGACTCGGGGTGGAGGTCACCTCGGAGTCAGTGCTTCGTGGAAAGAGCCTTGGGCAGTGTGGCCCAGTGCCAACCAGTCCCTGCCCTCCTCTGGGCCTCCGTTTCCCCACTTGTAGGATGAAAGGAGGGGACCAGAGGTCTCTCTCATTCTAGAACGCCACAGCTCGTGTCCAGTTACGTGGCTGGACATGGTTTTGGAACTTCACTGAAGGAACGAGTCCTCTGCTCTCCACCCCCTGGCTTTCAGTGTACCCTATTTCCCCAGGAAATAGTGGGGGGATGGGGCTCTGCTTCTGATGCCCACATGAGTCTTTGGTACCAGGAGCTGCACTTCCAGGGAGCCAATGGCTTAGGGGAGAAAGAGACCGAGAAGGGGTCCAGGGCACAGGAAATGGGCTGCAGGGGGCAGCCCTGGGTGGTTCCCACCCTACAGAGCTGGACTGGAGGATGGGAGGGTCCAGGGCACAGCGAGGAAGTCGCCGAGCCGGGGTGCCAGGCTGGGTCCAGGTGCTGGAGGCTGCATTCTCTATTCTGCACCATGCCTGCCGCCAGGATTCCGGTGGGAAGATGCCTTGTGAGGCTGGAGAGAGTGGTGACAGATTATAGGTCTCAGAGAGAGAGAGAGAAAGAGCCACAGCCTTGATGGGGGCCCCTCAGCAGGCAGAGGCTTTGGGAAAGTCGGGTTTGGCCCCCCCCAAACCAGGAACACTTGTTTCCATACCTTCTCTCTGGTCCATGAAGGACGACTCTGGAATAACCATTTTGCTTTGTTTCTTCTAGTCGCGAGAAGGTGTGAGGTTAAATGCCCCCACTCCAGTTCTGAAGGCCTATGTTCAAATTCTACTCTTTAACATACTAGCAAGTGCCCTGGATGTGGGACTAACCTTTCCAGGCCCCAGTTACTTACTCTACGGGGCTGCTGGAACTCAGGGGTTAGCCAGGGTTTTGCCATTGCAAGTGTCAGAAACCCAATTCAAATTGTCTTATGGGTAAAGGAGAGTTTACTGGCTCACATAACTAGCTAGGAAATCCAGATTGGGACCAGCTTCAGGCACAGCTGGATCTAGGGTTCAAAGGATGCTGCCGGGTCCTCCCACCCTTTGTGTGCTCTCGTTCTCTTTCTCCGTATCTTCATTCTTCTCGCTCTTTTCCTCACTTCTAAACACCGGCAGGGTTTCTGGGAGCTGCACGAGGTGGTCTCTATGGGTGTCCCGTCCTGTGCCTAGCAGGTGTTTGGTATTTAGGGGGCACTCAAGAAGCATTTGTCCATAGATTGACTGAATGAAATGAAGGCCTGGAAATAGTCCAGCTTGGTGTGAGTTCTGGAACCAAAAACCAGCTTCAAATTCCAGCTCCACCAGCTTCCATAGCTGAGATCCTGGGCACGTGAGCCTTTTCTGCTCCTCAGTTTCCTCATCTATAAAATGGGCACAACCATAGTGCCCTGCTCAGACAGTCATTGTGAGGGTGAAGAGAGCAGATGCATGTAAAGCGCTTAACACGTAATGAGCTCTCAGCCCGTGGAAATCATCAATATCATTACTGTTATTATTATTTGAAGTTGAGCATTTGTTACAATCCAAATAGCCGGAGGACAGTGCCGGGAAATAAGAGTCTATTTTTTTTTCTCTGGGGATTATTAGGTTTGCCTCCTCACTGAGCTCAGAAGCCTCGGGGCGGAGGGAAGTAAGAACAGAGTTAATTAAAGAGCTTGGGCTCCAGCAGCAGGCCCAGCCCGACTAGCGCCGGTGCAACTCGCGTGCTCTTGGCTGGCTGATGGTGGGAACTGCTCAGGGCTCCTCCACAAGGGACTCACAGGGGGTGGCATCTCACTCCCTGTGTCTCCTTTTTTTTTCTCTTTGACTTGTTTTCTGTTTCCTTGTGGTGTCCTCACAACCTCAGTGTATGTGAGGGGGAATGAAAGAAAGAAAGAAAGAATGAATGAATTTGAATGAATTTGATTGGCTCACTCGTGTTCCTTGCCGGGCCAGTAGCCCAGTAGTGATTGGCTGCCTTGGTCCAATCAGCTGTGTTAGGGGCGGACAGGTGGATTCACAGGCCAGCTCCCTGCAAGACTGTCACATGGGGTGGGGGGAGGGACCCAGAGGACAGAGGAGTGGCAGCAATTACTGGGAGGGAGATTTGAGCTTCCAGACCAGCTCAGGCATCACCTCCTCCTGGAAAGTTCAGGGGGCCCCAGGCCAGGTTAGGGCCTTCTCTGGCCCCCAGCCCCTCTGCTGCCCCATCGAATCTTGTGACTTTATTGTCGTTTCCTGGCCAGGTCTGTGTCCACCGTCAGTCTGGGATCAGGCCTGGCTCATTCAGTTCCCCAGCTTTGAGCTCAGGGCTGGTACCCAGTAGGCATTCAGGATGTGTTGTGTTGAATGAATGAGGGAATGAATGAAGGAATGAGAGGGATGAAGAAGGGCTCCAGAACCCTCCTGTTGCCATCATCAGACTCAGGGATTTTTCCTCTTCTCCCCGGTCGGGTCCCACTCTGACCTGCTTAACCACCCCCAGAGAGGTGCCCCGCGACCCCCTCCCGCCGCAGCCTGGTGACGTGGAGGGGCTGATGTGACGCTGTAGCTGCGATGGATGGGGCGTGCTAAAGGTCCCCGCACATTAGCCTGCTGAACCCACGTCTCTCGTAAGGTGTTAGTTACGTTTCTTCGAAGTATTTTGTCTGAAGAAGAAGCAGCATAATCAGAAAGATGCCTTTGAAAGTATTTACGTAACTGATGTGGCGCCGCTTTTGGTTTGGCGCATAATTAGATTTAAACACAACTCCTCGAGCCGCATCCTCGTTGGGAGAGAGCAGCTCGTTGAAATGTCATTGCGTTGTTTTTCAGAGTTTTGAGCCTGGAAAAATCAGTCAGCTGAGGAGGCAGAGTGTGGCTCTTGGGGACAGCCCTGAACTGGGGGGGGCCACCTGTTCAGTGTCCTCCTCTGTAAGACGAGAAGGCTCCCAGGGGCTCCCCGGGACCAAGAACTTAACAGTTGTGCAGCTTGTTAATTTTCTGAGCATTGTTGCCTAATGAGGTGGCTCCATTTTACAGACGAGCAAACCAAGGCCAGACATTTTCCTAAGGTTACATTAGTGACGAGCAGCAGATCTGGGATCTGAAGCCTGGTCTTCTGATTCCAGAACTGTTTTCCTACAGGACCTTGGAAAGCCCGTGTTCTAAACCCGATCGGACCCTCTCATAGTTTTGGAAAATTGCTGCCTGTCTTTAGTGCTTTGTTTCACAAGCTCCCACGAAATTCCCCCCTTCCCTCGTGGCTCTCCCCGGATGCTACTTGTGCTGTCTCTGCACAGTGCCAGAGAGTCGGATCTTCCGGCTGGAAGGTGGAGCTCCGTCCATGCATCCCTGATGGGGCTGATAGCACCCCCCAAGGGGGTGAAAACTGGTTTTGGGGGGTGAAAAAAATCTTACTCTGATTCTAAAGCACAGATACACGCACAGTAAATGAACAGATATACGGCGTATCTGTGGTGTTAGAACTTTATGAGAGAGGGGTGAGTAGAAAAAACATCTAAAAAGGCCCCTTGGGCTTCCCTGGTGGCACAGTGGTTGAAAGTCCGCCTGCCGATGCGGGGGACGCGGGTTCGTGCCCCGGTCCGGGAAGATCCCAAATGCCGCGGAGCGGCTGGGCCCGTGAGCCATGGCCACTGAGCCTGCGCGTCCGGAGCCTGTGCTCCGCAACGGGAGAGGCCACAACAGTGAGAGGCCCGCGTACCGCAAAAAAAAGAAAAAAAGAAAGAAGACAAAAAGGCCCCTTAAGGGCTGATAATGAAAAAAAAAAGGTAGAGAGGTACTACTTGTCAAGCAGCAGGTTAGCTGTAGCCGCCATACAGGTGCACGCGGGTACAGGTGCCCGGCTGTACCTGTCAGCCCTTCCCATTCATTACCTCGCAGCAACCCTCGGGGCTTCCCACATTACAGAGGGGAAGCTGAGGCTCAGGGGGAAATGTTTTGCCCGGCTAGTGATCAGGAGGGGCAGGATTCGGACACAGGTGGGCAGGCGGATGTGATCTGGACCACGTGTGATCTGACCTGGCTGTGGTCTGAGTTGATGGGACGTGAGCTGCAGGCTCCCAGCGCCGCGACCCCGTGACCCCATGATCTTCTCTCCCCTCAGGGTGGACCCGGTGCCTCATGACGCCCCCAAGCCGCCCGGATACACCCGCTTTGTCTGCGTGTCTGACACCCACTCAAGGACGGACCCCATCCAGATGCCCTACGGCGACGTGCTCATCCATGCCGGGGACTTCACCGAGCTGGGGCTCCCGAGCGAGGTGAAGAAATTCAACGAGTGGCTGGGTAGGTGCCAGAAGGGGCGGTGCCTGTGAGCAGCCGGACTCGGGCGGCCCCCTGCCCACCGTCCTTCCTCCCTGCTCTGCCCGGCCCCTCCCTGGACTTTGTCACCTGTCCACCTCCCCTGGGAAGCCCCCTGACCTCCGGGACCAGGCCACACCCCTCTCACTCTCCCGTGACACCTGGGAGGTCTCCTACCCCAGCGCTTGTCTCTGCTGTGATTTTCCATTTGTTGGTGGGATTTTTTTGGCCCGGGGGACTTCCTCCCAAAGGGATTTTGTCCAGGTTTGTTTCTGTCCACTTGTGTGTCCAGCCCCCAGTGCCTGGTACAGGTAGATGCCGAGTAATAATTGATGAGCAGATAAGTGGCTGAATGGACGGATGAATGAATGACTCTCTGGGAACAGTGATGTCAGGGCAGGCACCTCAGCTGGTAGGTACAGCCACCCACCGTCATCGACGGCTTCTCCAGTGAGGGGACCCTCCAGGCCTCGTGGCCCCAAGCAGGAGCCCAGGGGGCCCGGTGTGGGTTCCTCCGCGGGCAGCCATTGGTACTGGCGGCGGAGTGCCGTCCTGCGCCGTAGGAGATGGTGGGCCACGATTTGCGAGCACGCCCCTAGGGTTTTGTCCTCAGCTTTGCTTTCTTCCGAAATAAGAAAGACATAAATCTGGGGTGCCCCCCCGGGAAAAGCCGTTTGCTTGGAATCCAGGGACACCTCCCAGCGAATCTCTGTGCCATGGCCCAAGGAGACAGATGGGTGGCCCCTGGGCTGCTGACACAGAGGCCTGGGTACGGGGCGGGCCCACCTCCCCGTGCAGCCCCTCGTGGCCGCCAGACGGTCCCCCGCCTCCCCAGGGGCGTCCCGCTGTGCAGTTGGCTGGGAGCTGTGCAGGCAGAGGGGGGCCAGGAGCGAGGCGGGTGGCTGCGGCGGGAGAGGCTGGCTCTGCCAGTCGAGACAAATATTTACAAGCAAGGCCTTGCACTCCCCTTGGCGGGCTCGGAGCTTTAAATATTGATTATTCAAATGGGAAGTTCTCATCAAGGGGCCTGTTTGGGCTGAGCTTTGTGAAGGCTGGGGTGGGAGGGGCTCCTGTCGGTGAGTCTGCCCTGGGCTTCTCCCCACGCCCCGGGCTGCTTCCCAGGAGGGGACCCTCACGGGGGCTGGTTTCTTGTCCCCCTGCTGTGGGTCTCAAAAGATGTGAGGCTGAGCTGAGTCCGTGTCCCAGGCAGAGAACAGGAGTCGCTGGTGGCCAGGCACCTGCTTGTGTGCCAGGCTCCTTACCACCACTGCCGGGCTGAATTTGAGGAAGAGCCATTTGGGGTGGGTGCTGTTTAGACCCCTATCTGACAGAAGACGATGTCGGCTCCCTTGCACTGAGGTTCCCGAAGTGAGGGACTATTTCCGATGTCCCCCCGGCCCAGACATGCTCGTCTCCAAGCTGAGTGAGTAAATGAACCCAACAGTTGCATGTGCCAGGGGGGTGGTGGCCAAGGGCTGTGGGATCTCAGTGCAGAGGCTGGTGGTGGCCTCTTCCCAGGCTGGGGCGGCTTCTGGGACAAGCTGCCGTTGGGCTGGGCCCGGCCTGGGGAGCTGGGCGATGGTGCTGGGAACAGAGCAGCTGCAGGTTGAGGGGACAGCGGAGGCCAAAGCCTGCGGGGGGACACTTGAGAGGTGGCATGACGTGTTGTGACTGGAGGGAGGAGGTTTGGAGAACGTGAGGGTGATGAGCCTGGAAAGGGGGGTGGGGACTCCCTGAGACTCTGCACATAAGGGGAAAGCAGGGGCCTGGGAGGGCCAGCACGGTGAGATGTGGCCATTTTAGGAGAATCTCTTTACTCGCCTCGTAACTGAAGTCAGAACTGTGTGCTGGAGGAATTGAGGAGGCTTTCTTCATGTCTGCACTTGACGTGGGATTGATTTCTTTGCCTGGATCATCACGGGTGGGAAGGGTGAACTTACAGAGGGGTCTCCCTTTTACAAAAGGAACCTCTCCCCTTGGCAGCCTTGAAGTGTTTGCAGATGTCACTGTTTGTCACTCAAGTGGGCTGGGCGGGGCTTCAGCCTGAAGAGTGACAGAGCTGGAGGAATTTGCATGTGAGTTAGGGCATCAGTAGGAGTGGGTTTATAGCGGTCCGTCTGCAGCTGGCTTTCTGGGAACTGGCCCGCTGCGCAAGGTGACTCACCTCTGTGGGCTGGCGGTTCACGTGCCAGGGGTGTGGTGATGCGGCAGAGATGGGCTCAGGGTGGTGTTGTAAAGGGCTCTGCGTTTATTGAGTGTTGGCATGTGCCCTTCATGTATATTATTAAATCATTTGCTTCTCTTGGTGAGGGAACGAGGCGGGAGCTATTGTCATCCCCACTCGACAGAGGAGAAACCGAGGCCCAGAGGAGTGAAGGAACTTGCCCAAGGTCACACAGCTAGTAAGTGGCAGAGCTGGGGTTTAAACCCAGGCAGTTGGACTCCAGAGCCGAGCTCTGTCCTCTCCTCTGTTATCACCTCTCTTGTTTTTATGGTGAAACCTCACTGATTCGAAGTTAAGGTGTGGGCTGTGCCTTTTGGGGCCAGACGTCCAGGGTCAGCTCTCTCCCAGGCAATGGCAGCAGTCGTGTGACCTCTCTGAGGCCCCCTGGCCTCGTTTTAACTGGGGGTGGTCAGGCTCCCCTTGACCTGCCTGCCTCTTTGGAGGCAGGTTGTTTTGAGACTCCACTGGGATGGAGGAAATGTTCAAGTGTGTGAACTGTAAAGGGCTGTGCAGGTGTTATTACTGCCTCCAGGAGCTGGCGTTTGCAGATCAGGGCCCCCTTGGGGTAGAGGTAGGGGACATGGGCTGGTCCCACAGTAGGCAGTGGGGGGACTTGAGCTGAGCCTTCACGTTGAGTTGCAGGGAGAAGCGGTAGATGATTTGTGTGTAAAAGTGTGTGGAGTTGACCTGCGATCTCAGCTGTGTGGGCAGTTCTTGCAGACACACACACACACACACACACACACTCAGCAAAGACCGCAGGGGTATTCATTCGTCCATTCAGTACACCTCACTGAGAGCTCTGTGCAAGTGTGTCCCATGCAGTGGGTGATGGTGGGGAGTGAGGACAGGGTGCTGCGTCTGGTGATGGGGACACAGTGGATGGGTGGATACACCAGAAGCAGTAAGAGAACAGTTCACGTGATGAGGTCGGCAGAGCGCTGGCCCAGGGGGCGTGATGGTGACTGAGAGCCCCTTGAGGCGCCATGGAAGGCCTCCCTGAAGAGGTGGCTTTGGGTGAGGCGTGGAGGTGAGAGTGAGGTGATGTAGGAGGGACATTCCAGGCAGGGGCACAGCGGCTGCAGAGGACCTGAGGGCAGGCAGGCAGGTGTGCAGTGTGGAGGGTTTGTCACCGGTTGGTTCAGATACGCCCTGTGGGCCAGCGGCAGGAGTTTGGGGTTGATTCTAGGTGCCATGGGGTCTTTGGGAAGGTCTGTGTATGGGAGTGACCTTTAAAAAGGCCTGGATTGCGGAGACAGCAAGGCCAGTGAGGGCAGCGGCTCTGGAATGTTCCAGAAGCGATGTCTGGGAGATGGGATCATGAGGGATTTTTATTTTCTTCTTTATGGTTCTCTCTCTCTTTTTTCCCTCTGATTTTCTATAGGGAGCATGTATTATTCTCGTAGCTTTAAAAAGGCAACACTAAAATCTCGCTGTTTTTAAAGAAATGCTGGTCTCTCTGGTGTCTGGTGCACAGTGTGTCCCAGGATGGGGCTAGGGGCCGCGCTGGGCTCAGGTCAGTGCTGGTGTCATCCAGCCGCTCAGAAGCTCTCCCCTGGAGCCCCTTCCCTAGGCCAGCGGGGCCCCATCCGCCTCTCAGGCCCACTGGCCCAGCCCTTCCTCCGCCCGAGTGAGAAAGTTACAGAGTTGAAATTCATAAGCAGCTTCTTCCCTGTTCGTTGATCTCATGGAAAGCATCTAAAATCATATTCCAGGGGGCACCTCCAGACAGACAGGAGAAGGGTTAAAAAGTTAATAGAGGCCCTCCTTGTGAGAGGCACCTAACTGGGGAGCGGTGCGGCTAAACTCACGCGACCGTCATTTGCTGTCGGCGGCGTTGCTCTTGGCTTGGGTGTGCGTGGTGTCCACGTTTTGCCCACTTGCAGGCTTCTGTCTGGGTCTGTGTTCTTTGGGGGGCGCTGGGTTGGGGATGACGGGGCCCCTCTGAGCAGATCCTTTTTCCCTTCGGCCATTAATATCCCAAATACGTTCATGAAATAGAAACACCAGCTTCATTTGTAAATGTCCCCGTAAGCAGCTAAAAAATTGCTAAGGACGGGCTTTCTGGCTATAAAGAGTGAAAAGAAGAGCAAAATTGGCTGAAAATGGAAAAGGATGTGCTGGAAGCTCCTTGCTCCCCCGCAGTAACTGCGTGAGGATGGACCGGCAGCGTGGAGCCCACAGACTGGTTGGCCCAGTAAGTCGTGTCTGTGCAGGGAAGTGGGACGGCACGAAGGTTAAGAGCTCCCTCCTGGAAGTCAGGCAGACCTGTCTTCACCCCTGCTTCAGCCTCTTATTTGCTGTGTGACCTTAGCTTAGCCACTCAACCTCTCTGTGCCTCATCTGTAAAATGGGAAGAATTATTTACCTACCCCATGGGGGTGGGGAGGATTGAAGAATCATGTTCCCATACAGCGCTTAGCGCAAGGAGAAGCCCTCCGGAAGTGGCAGCTGTTGTCGTAAGAAGCCTGCCTCTCCCTGAGCTGAGTCCGCCACCAACACAGGGAAATCAACGAGCCTCAAGGTCGGCGAGCCATCTTCTTCCAGCCACACTGGCAGACTCCAGTGCCCCACCTGGGCCCTGCCTCATGCTTGTCCCCCAGCTGGGAAGGCTCTTTCTCGTCCACCCGACAGAGTCCTACCCACCCCTAAATGTCGTTCTTCTGAAGCTTCTCCCTGCCCCACTGGGTGGCATTGGTCCCTCCTCCCTGTGCGCCCAGGGCTCCCTATTCAGTCCTTGGTGGTGGCCCTCACCTTGTGGAGGGAATTGTCTGTGTCCTCATGCCTCCCGTCCGCCCTGCCTCCCCCTGAGACCGTCAGCCCCTGGAGGGCAGGGCGCGTCTCATCCCTAGCACCAGCCAGTGCCTCAGCCGGGGGAGGCCCTGGACAGAGACGTAGACTCGGGGTGTCTGCACTGTGAGCTGGTCCCTGCGCCCCCAGCAGGGCTGGTTGCTGTTGGGTGGGACAGCAGTAAATGGGGCTTCGAGGAGGGCCGGGCTGTGACGCAGAAGAGTGTGGGCGTGGCTGTCGCAATACGGGACTCCGGGAGGGTCTGCGAAAGGGCAGAGGCTGAGTGGGGGTCTCCAGGATGAGCCTAGGAGCTGAGGCCGGCAGGTGAGCCTGGGCTCGCCACTGGAAGCCGGTGGGTGCTGAGGGTGGGGACAGAGGCCGAGCGCCCAGGAGCACCCGCCTCCCAGGATGCCGCCTGACCCTGAGGCCGTGACACGCCCGCATCTTCCCCGAGGGAAGAACACCAGGCCAAATTCTGCCCCTGGCTCTGAGTGACAGCCGTGTCCTCAAGAGCTGTCAGTTCATGAGACGGGATTCACAAGATGCCAGGAAGCCTGCTCTCTGCGACTGGCAGGGGCCAGGCTGGCCTCCCCACGCCCCTGTCAGGAGAAGCCTGCAGCCACCGCATCCCTCACTCCCACCCCCGGCTCCTGCAGCCTCAGACCCCGGCACTGGCCTCAGAGCGACTGCCCAGAGGCCACAGCCGGGTGCTCACCCCTCCTCTCCGCCTCCCCACCTGCCTGATGCTGCCCCGTCCAGCTTGGCTTCTCCTTCCCCAGCTTCCACACCTCCCTCTCTGGGCTCCCTGCTTCTCCATCTCCTCCTTTTGTTCCTGGTTCTCCTCCTTCTCACTGAAAGTGGCTCCTCCTGGGACCAACCGTGGGCCGCTCGACCCCTTCTTTCCAGACGATAGTCATACCCTCCTGCTCTTGCTTCTGCCCAGACTCGCAGACACCTCCATCTCCTCCCAGACCTGATCCCTCTTTGAGATCCAGCCGGTATATTAATCAGTCTTCTCAGAAGACACCTCCTCCTGGCTGTCCACCAGGATTTTAGACTCGTTTTTAGGTCCCAAACTGAACTCCCAGACCTCAGCCCCATCCCTAGAGGCTATGTCGTAAGACGTAGGCCTCCACTGAGACCCAACCACAGCTCCGGTATCCTTGCTCCCTTCCCTCTGAGGCCATCAGCGCCACCCATTATTTTCGCCCTGCTGTTGTCTGTCCTGCCCGTGTCTTCTTCACTCACTTCCGTCACCTGCCGAGCTGCTTTGAGGTCCCAAGTGGGCCGTCCTGCCAGCCTCCCCTTCCTCCTGCAGGATCCTGTGAGCCCCTCGAGGGTTGAGACGGCGCCTAGTCCGTGCAGGTCCTCAGGACCCAGCCCAGCCTGGCCCCAGGGCTGCTCGCGGGTGTCTGTTGAACAAGCGTGGAGAGGTCTGGTTACCCACAAGGGGCTGGTTAATTAAGTGGCGCTACC